AAAGCCCCTGATGATCTTTCCATCCATGCAGAGAAAATGACTGTAATACCTCTGAGTCTGGAGAAGAAGATTTTTGAAATATTGGTTAATTTTCCCTTTTGGGCCCCGCCCTGGCCCCTAGGGTTGGGGTAGGAATCCCAATTTTACAATTTGGTATCCTCATCTACCAAGGATGATTCTGACCAAGTTTGAAAAAATTCCATCACCTGGTTCCTCAGAAGAAGTTGATTATGTAAAAGTTTACGCACGACGGACGACGACGGATGGAAAGTGATTGGAATAGGTCACTTGAGCAAAGCTCAGGTGACCTAAATATACAGTTTCCATTATTGGGAAGTTGAACTTTGACCTTTTTTCATAATGGCCAAGTCTTGATTCGACTAAATTTTAGAGGATATTCTGAAGCTATACTAAACAGATTTCTCTGTTCTTATCTTTATTGGAAAATCAGGGATAAAGTCAATGAGAAAGTTCCGTACTTTTCGCCGAGAGAGAAGACAGGTCTGTCCTCGTCTGAGGTCGCCGATTCCGGTATAGATGTTGACCTTTCACTTGAGGTCACTGACCGGTCAGGTGACTTTGCATGTGCAGTCATGGGTGCCTGTACTGGTGTTGTGGGGCGTGGCTTTACGCCTGTGGCCAGGTCTCGGGGTCGCTGTCGTAACGTCACAGGCGGGTAACCTGAAATGCAACACAAAATTTGTTTTTAAAAAAATTGTTAAGAATACATGGCAAAATATCCCTTCATTATGTTTACTGGTACTTTTATTTCTGGAGATTGATAACTTTACATTAAATTGTGTAGAGACTCAATTGCAAATTCAAAAACCTTGCCAATACACTGAATTATTATAGAACACATCTAGTGGATGGATATATATATAGCTGAAAGTGTTGCTTTAGCAGACATACGTCCACAAGAATAGGCTATCTCAAGAACAGCTGCGGAAATAAAAACCCACAAGAATTGATGAAAAGTTGCTGAAATTTACATTTATATTTAAAAGATCACTACAAGATTTAATATCAAATATGTATGTAACAAATGTCATGAGGGGGGTGAGGGGAGGCTCAATCAGGTTTTTATCATTATTTCTTTTTTAATATTAATGTAATTTCTGTTATAAAGTAAGATTTGCACTGCAGATGAAAATTCTGTGCTAATCAAGCATGTATTATTAAGCCAGTAATGAAAGTCCTTGCCAGAAAGAAACGCACAATACAGTAACTATTTATAGATGTGAATGACAGGCAGCAAATAGGGAAAACTTGACCCAATCTGGTACATATACATGTATATAGGTACTTTTGAAGTGCACAGTAACATTGAAATGAAACTGATTAAATTCCTATAAAGAAATATGGAGGCAGAAAGGCTTTATATGCTAAGCATTTAGAAGCATGGTAGGTACCATATAGCGCGCACCATTCAGTTTGTCTGTGACACATGTGGCAGTTATACCAGTTGGTCTGCCACATCTATGCAGTTTATTGCTTATATTTATATTTCCATAATAAGAATTCGCAAAAAAAATAATATGTCTTTTCCAAATTTCAAATTTTCCGCTTATTACCGTCAGGTGAGGTCAGTATCTAGAACGGCACAAAGATAACAGCTGACGTCATGCGCTATTTCCCATACAAAATTGAAAAGACTCCGCAACTTTCGTTAATAATTCATTTGATTTTGATTTGTATATATATATCATATTCTCGATTCATAAATAGTAACAAATGACATTTTGTAAGTAACTAATCAAGTGTCGTAAAACATTTTCCGATTTTATTGCGACCTATATCCGGCGCACGCACTCAACGGAAGCCCGCAGTAATCAGGTCAGAGTTATATTTGCAGTCCGGCATGTTGTTGATGTTGATCGTGCCACCGGAGAAGGTTGAATTGGTGAAAAATCCAGGCGTAAAATTGTTTGTTGATCTCACAGACACTTGAGACAGGCAGCTGGTGTAAGGGATCAAAGCAGAAGAGACCGATAAGTTCGATAGTGACACTGTTAAGTCGCACGAGGTGCAAAGACCAACTTCAGTTAAAGTCTCATAAGATGAAGCTGCTTTTGGCAGTACTTTAGTAGTAATATAGAAGGGCTTTGCCACACCAAATGTAAATATTTACCATTATTAACGCCCAGGGCGGATGAAGTAGTGACTGAAAGGGGGGGGGGAGCACTTATATGGATATTGTACAGGTAAAAATATATTCTGTTAAAAGGAGAGGGCAAGAATAGATGGATTTTTGGGAAAGGGGGCACTTGAATAATCCAACAAGTGCTGAAATAGGGGGAGGGGTGCTCACTATGGCAAATATGGTTTTATTGAAATAAGTTTTGAGTTCTAGAAGCATTGTAAACAGAAATATGACTGGTACATGGAAACCATTTACTTCCAGCATTCTTTCACTGTACAGCCAAAGGAGACAAGAGCCGATCAAAAGTTTACATAACATTGAACAATTTATTTATCTAGTCTAATCCTTGATGTTTACACTTCTGAAAATAGCGTGAATGGCTAACTGTTAAGCTTATTTTTTTAGGTTTGGAGTGCTGTAAAAAAATATTTATGGTGATTATCTCCCTTTGTTCAATCTGGGACAGTTCAGACAATTAAAGAAAACTATGGTGATTTTAAAGGAAAACACTGTATGTACAGAACATTTTCCATGTTCAACAAATAAATAACTAATACTGGTATCAATACAATTACACATATACACATTTATATATTGGTATATGAAGTGCTGTTACTATAGTTACAGAGTGATGCATGTATCTCTATCTTGTCAAAATCTATCACAGACTAAGTAAACTGTAGGTTAGAAACTGCAGTAAGTCAACGGTCTTAAACTCTGAGTACTTTCAAAACATCTGTGATATCCTTGTACTGTTTATATATATATTTAATCCTTTTCTGTCACACTATGAGATATGTTATTTGTTGTAGTAAATTCTTGGGGCTCATGTGATCATATATCTACAATTGACATAATATTCAGTCACACTCGATCTTCAGTATTACTCCATTGTTACAAGCTCCACAGCAAGTTGTGTCATAATTTGGTTTCTATTCCATATATATTATGAGTTAACACAGAACATCAGGGTAATCTAAACCTATACAGGAGGACAGTTTGAAAGGTTTGTGGTATTAAATATATTTTCTTGTGAATCAGAAACTTTTCAAATATATTCAAACTGACAACAAATATCATAGACAGACAGTCGACAGAAGCAAAAATCCACAATGCAGCAAGACCTATTCATTCAAAGAAAAAGTAAAAAGAAATAAAAAAAAAATCCACAAGGAAGTAAACCACAACAAATACATAGTTTTACAACAAAATGGCGGGAATCAAGGGAAGTTGACAGGGTTGAAGTCACAAATAAACAAAGGGAAGACACATCAATAGCACAACGCTTTCCACTGAACTATCAGGACAGGAAGCCGTTATTTACTGGACATTCACTTGGTACAGCCGAACTTTGTTATTTCTCAAATATCCTGTTTATTGCAGAGATGGTGTTTAGTGCCCCCGCGTCAGTGTGTTCAGTAAATCCTGTTTTAACCAATCTACAAGTCAAAATCTACAGGACAATATGACTATAGTGAAAGGTGACTAATCTGGCACCCTGTGAAACATGATATTCTGGTCAGATTAGACAAGATGTCTGTCAGAATGCACAGATTTTATTTGTTAGTTTTCATTAGAATTTGGACTTAAGCATTATGTTGGATTAGACAGGATGTCGAGATATTCCGGGGTCAGATTAGACAGGTTTTACTGTATTAAACACTAAAAGTAGAAAATATTGATTTAAATCCATATTTTGCTGTTAAAATGTGTTTTCCATCACATATGTCCCAAATTTGTTGATATAAACCGTTAATAACCCTTATGCTTAGAGTTTCAGAGCTATTGAAATTTCTAGTGCTTCACTGCAGAAAAATCATATATTTCAGACAAGACATATGTTGAAGTTCCACAAGTTAAGATGTTTTCTACAAGCAGGATCATTAATACCAGTATACATGCATGTATTACAACTGGTCAGACTCGATTAATCATCAACAGTGCAAGTTAATAGTGTAATCACTCCACACAACGCGCTCTACTGTGCTGCTGACAGGCAGTAAAACTAGCAAGGGAACAAAAGCAAGGACAATTGTGGAATTTTAGTTTCCTTTCAAAGATTTCAAATGAAACATTTTAGAAAAACATAAGCACATATATAAATATACATGGAGAGAATTAAAACAGTAAACCGCATGCCACCATTTTGTTTTTCCGTCGTGTTCCGCTGTTACCTGAGTATGTTGGTGGTGGTCTAGGAAGGACATTAGCCAGTGACGAGCGATAAAATAGCGCTGCATTAAAACGAAAGTTACATTGTGTTGGTCAATATACTCCCAACCATACATTTTATACAGCATCTTGATATACACGTAGAGAAAAGAACTGCAGCTCCAGGTATAAAAATAAGAATGCTATATAATGTACATTTCATCATGATATTCTTAATACAAACTAATTCGTAAAATTTCAGAAATGTAATCATGTTTTTATGTAGCATAAAGTACCGTGCCTAACGTCTTTCAAGTTGATTTATTTTCCCATTAAATCCCATATTAATTTTTCATCTTATTTTACAAAATGTTCCACCTGTGTTTTTTAGATTCCTGACTAAAATGAAAAAAATATGGGAGAGAGAAAAAAGCAATATTTCAAAACATATCTACTGATAAATAGACAGTAATGACCAGAAAGAATGAATAATTTTCTAAAAGGATGTTGTTATGAAAATTGATTTGGCGCTTTCACCGATTTATTGATTTGGCGCTTTCACCGATTTACCGATCAGACGTGAAAAGGTATGTGTTCACATGTCTGACCATGTGGGTTTTCTCCGTGTACTCAAGTTTCCCCCCACATTAAGGCACGCCGGGCCAACAAGAGCGATAAATGTAAGTAATAACTTGTTTCATAACTATTGTTTCTATTATATATAAAAATGAATTTTAAAATGTTAATTAACATAGATTCCAATTGAGAATGAAATAACTGTAAAGACTTTTGGCACCTCAGTGTATACTTGGTTAAGAATATTTTTCTGTCATTTTAAATTCAGGATTTTTCAAAGACATGTACCCTAGACTATATTTCATGGTCCGTATAATAATTTTGTGCAGAATGCGTGTGTAGTTATGAGAAACAGAATATACAATAAGCAGATACACTATCTGTGTTCTGTAACTTGACTTTAATACAAATTCCCAGGGCATAGGGTTTGTGTCATGTGACAAACTAAAATACATATGAAGGTTTAGAGTGACCGGGTATACAATATGTGTCATGCAGCTTTACTTTGTAGTGAAGTGTCATGCACCTTTTTACTTTCACCACACCCACCCAAACCCTATCCCAGCCCTGCCCATACCATAAAATTTGAATTCAGATACTGTATGTTAATTTATTTGGCGATTATTATCTTTTGTTTCAAAGTATGGAAAATTATATTTGAAGTTAAGTTATTTATGTCTGAAATCTTCTTTTATAGCAGATCCATATAACCAAGTTATTCACACAGCAAAATGTGTGTAAGTACGTAGACTTACAGAAGCCATACAAGCTTTAAAGGATCAGACATGATGGCAAAACAGATATTTGCTTTAAACTGGTGGCCTACTTTTTTCCAGAAAGGCAGTTTTGTTAGTTCTGTTCGACTCTTTGGATAACAATGGTATTTCGATACAAATCCTTTTTGATGTACTGAATCTCTTACTTCCTTTTTATTTTACAATGTTGTGTATCTATCTAAAACAGCATCTATTACACCAAGGAATAACTCTAAATGCACAACTAGATTAATGAATGTTCGTAATACAGAAGATGTTGGGTCCAAATAATTTGGAGATAAATCATCTGGAAACCGTGTGGCATAGATATGAAATTCCTAGATTAAAAGTATATATGGTCAAGTTTACTTGATAAAATATAGTAATATCTATATTTATACAGTACAGTGAATAATGATGTTCTTTTGATGCATGCAACAACTACACCAGGTACAATTGTTCTAGACACAATACTCTATTCACAGGGCTTACTCACACCGCTGTACACAATACTCTATTCACAGGGCTTACTCACACCGCTGTACACAATACTCTATTCACAGGGCTTACTCACACCGCTGTACACAATACTCTATTCACAGGGCTTACTCACACCGCTGTACACAATACTCTATTCACAGGGCTTACTCACACCGCTGTACACAATACTCTATTCACAGGGCTTACTCACACCGCTGTACACAATACTCTATTCACAGGGCTTACTCACACCGCTGTACACAATACTCTATTCACAGGGCTTACTCACACCGCTGTACACAATACTCTATTCACAGGGCTTACTCACACCGCTGTACACAATACTCTATTCACAGGGCTTACTCACACCGCTGTACACAATACTCTATTCACAGGGCTTACTCACACCGCTGTACACAATACTCTATTCACAGGGCTTACTCACACCGCTGTACACAATACTCTATTCACAGGGCTTACTCACACCGCTGTACACAATACTCTATTCCCAGGGCTTACTCACACCGTTGTACACAATACTCTATTCACAGGGCTTACTCACACCGCTGTACACAATACTCTATTCACAGGGCTTACCCACACCGTTGTACACAATACTCTATTCACAGGGCTTACTCACACCGCTGTACAGAATACTCTATTCACAGGGCTTACTCACACCATTGTACACAATACTCTATTCACAGGGCTTACTCACACCGCTGTACACAATACTACATAGTTTGGTTGATGCAGGAATACATTTTTCTTGTCTATCCATACTATTCTAAAAATCTGTACCCTGCTGTGGTGTTATATGGTCTTATACAATGTAATCTGGGCACAAGGGACACCACATTACACCTGTAAGAGTTCAGTAGAGAAACTAGCAAAGCTTCTATTGACATTTCAATTTGACCCCCATCTCCAATAAATTTCTATTCCTAGGATCCACTATAGAAATATGAACTTTTTTAGACCTCATTACCCATAGATTATCCACAACAAATGCCTTCTACCCCATATAGTCATTTCTGGAATAACACTACACACAGATATCCCAAAACAATTCAGTTATTTGGTTGTTGAAGAACTAAATTAAAATAGCAAAACAGAAGAAATACCCACAATGTTAGATTGTTGTGGGATAAGATTTTTTCCCCCTCTTTTACGATTTTTTTTTAAACACTCCTGGGAAGTATGAAAGTTTTTTCTACTTACAATAAAACAAGGAAAGTGTTAAAGATCCTTTAGCAGTGTTATTTGGAATCTATACAGGTAGCTGAGATACAGGTATCCTTTTCAATGCACATTCTACTACTGAAAAAGACATTTACCAACAGCCAATCAGAGTGAAGTTCATTGTACATGATGGTTTTGGAAAGCCTGGTCCTGCTTGGCTATTTGCTATTTACTAGGGATTCAAGAGGTAGGGTTGTGTGGGGCACATATTTACCTGGGCCTGGATACCCTGGGGGGAGGTCCTCGTCAAGTTCAAGGTCGTCAACATCCATAGCTGGCATGCGTGGCATTCTGTAGTTGGAGGACGGGATGACTCCTGTTAAGTAGCAATTACATAAAGATGTAAAATATCTAAAGTGCAACCTGTCTATAACAACTTGTCGCAGGCATTATTTTAGAGGTCATGGGGCAATTGGACAGTTAAATTGGAATTGCGAGGTCCTTTTTTTATTTATTTATTTTTACCAGATATCATGGTATAAATAAGAAGACTGGGCAATTTTTCCATTGATTAAGCATTGAAAGTTTTTTTTTTTTTTTTTTTCAATTTCCTTGAAATTAGCCTACATTGACCCGTCCTCGTTCCTTACACTAAATGCAAGTAAACTCACTGACAGGGCTATGTTAAGACAAATCTTGACTAAGAATTCTCAAATACTAATCTGAAAGAAATTCCTGGACCTTTTGCAGTATATTGTTACATATTGAACTCTGGTTTCTTGAAAAATTCCCATTAATGTTGAGTTTTCTCATAGTCAATGACTCTTGAGAGATATATGGAATGGTTGTGTAATTGCACGGTGGATTCAGTCTAAACCAGACACCAGTGGAACCATACTATTTGTCAGGTTTGGGAGTAATGGCACAGTGGATTCAGTCTAAACCAGACACCAGTGTGATCATACTATTTGTTAGGGTTGGGAGTAACGGCACAGTGGATTCAGTCTAAACCAAACACCAATGGGACCATACTATTTGTTAGGTTTGGCAGTAATGGCACGGTGGATTCAGTCTAAACCAGACCCCAGTGGGACCATACTATTTGTCAGGTTTGGGAGGAATGGCACAGTGGATTCAGTCTAAACCAGACTAAACCAGACACCAGTGTGATCATACTATTTGTTAGGGTTGGGAGTAACGGCACAGTGGATTCAGTCTAAACCAAACACCAATGGGACCATACTATTTGTTAGGTTTGGCAGTAATGGCACGGTGGATTCAGTCTAAACCAGACCCCAGTGGGACCATACTATTTGTTAGGTTTGGGAGTAATGGCACGGTGGATTCAGTCTAAACCAGACACCAGTGGGACCATACTATTTGTTAGCTTTGTAAGTAATGGCACAGTGGATTCAGTCTAAACCAGACACCAGTGTGATCATACTATTTGTTAGGTTTGGGAGTAATGGCACGGTGGATTCAGTCTAAACCAGACACCAGTGGGATCATACTATTTGTTAGGTTTGGGAGTAACGGCACAGTGGATTCAGTGTAAACCAGACACCAATGGGACCATACTATTTGTTAGGTTTGGGAGTAATGGCACAGTGGATTCAGTCTAAACCAGACACCAGTGTGATCATACTATTTGTTAGGTTTGGGAGTAACGGCACAGTGGATTCAGTGTAAACCAGACACCAGTGGGACCATACTATTTGTCAGGTTTGGGAGTAATGGCACAGTGGATTCAGTCTAAACCAGACACCAGTGTGATCATACTATTTGTTAGGTTTGGGAGTAACGGCACAGTGGATTCAGTCTAAACCAGACACCATACTATTTGTCAGGTTTGGGAGTAATATAATGGCAAAGTGGATTCAGTCTAAACCAGACACCAGTGCGACCATACTATTTGATAGGTTTGGGAGTAAAGGCACGGTGGATTCAGTCTAAACCAGACACCAGTGTGACCATACTATATGTCAGGTTTGGGAGTAACGGCACAGTGGATTCAGTCTAAACCAAACACCAATGGGACCATACTATTTGTTAGGTTTGGGAGTAAAGGCCCGGTGGATTCAGTCTCAACCAGACACCAGTGGGACCATACTATTTGTTAGATTTGGGAGTAATGGCACAGTGGATTCAGTCTAAGCCAGACACCAGTGGGACCATACTATTTGTTAGGTTTGGGAGGAATGGCACAGTGGATTCAGTCTAAACCAGTAGGTTTGGGAGTAATGGCACGGTGGATTCATTCTAAACCAGACAACAGTGGGACCATACTATTTGTCAGGTTTGGGAGAAATGTCACAGTGGATTCAGTCTAAACCAGACACCAATGGTACCATACTATTTGTTAGGTTTGGGAGTAAAGGCCCGGTGGATTCAGTCTCAACCAGACACCAGTGGGACCATACTATTTGTCAGGTTTGGGAGTAATATAATGGCAAAGTGGATTCAGTCTAAACCAGACACCAGTGGGACCACACTATTTGTTAGGTTTGGGAGTAATGGCACGGTGGATTAAGTCTAAACCAGACACCAGTGGGACCATACTATTTGTCAGGTTTGGGAGTAATATAATGGCAAAGTGGATTCAGTCTAAACCAGACACCAGTGCGACCATACTATTTGATAGGTTTGGGAGTAAAGGCACGGTGGATTCAGTCTAAACCAGACACCAGTGTGACCATACTATTTGTCAGGTTTGGGAGTAATGTCACAGTGGATTCAGTCTAAACCAGGCACCAGTGGGACCATACTATTTGTCAGGTTTGGGAGTAATGGCACAGTGGATTGAGTCTAAACCAGACACCAGTGTGACCATACTATTTGTCAGGTTTGGGAGTAACGGCACATTGGATTCAGTCTAAACCAGACACCAGTGGGACCATACTATTTATTAGGTTTGGGAGTAATGGCACAGTGGATTCAGTCTAAACCAGACACCAGTGTGCCCATACTTTTTGTCAGGTTTGGGAGTAACGGCACAGTGGATTCAGTCTAAACCAGACACCAATGGGACCATACTATTTGTTAGGTTTGGGAGTAATGGCACGGTGGATTAAGTCTAAACCAGACACCAGTGGGACCATACTATTTATTAGGTTTGGGAGTAATGGCACAGTGGATTCAGTCTAAACCAGGCACCAGTGGGACCATACTATTTGTCAGGTTTGGGCGTAATTGCACAGTGGATTCAGTCTAAACCAGACACCAGTGTGCCCATACTTTTTGTCAGGTTTGGGAGTAACGGCACAGTGGATTCAGTCTAAACCAGACACCAGTGGGACCATACTATTTGTTAGGTTTGGGAGTAATGTCACAGTGGATTCAGTCTAAACCAAACACCAGTGGGACCATACTATTTGTCAGGTTTGGGAGTAATTGCACAGTGGATTCAGTCTAAACCAGACACCAGTGGGACCATACTGTTTGTTAGGTTTAGGAGTAATGGCACGGTGGATTCAGTCTAAACCAGACACCAGTGTGACCATACTATTTGTCAGGTTTGGGAGTAATGGCACAGTGGATTCAGTCTAAACCAGACACCAGTGTGGCCATTCTATTTGTCAGGTTTGGGAGTAATGGCACAGTGATTCAGTCTAAACCAGACACCAGTATGGCCATTCTATTTGTCAGGTTTTGGAGTAATGGCACAGTGGATTGAGTCTAAACCAGACACCAGTGTGACCATTCTATTTGTCAGGTTTGGGAGTAATTGCACAGTGGATTCAGTCTAAACAATACACCAGTGGGACCATACTATTTGTTAGATTTGGGAGTAATGTCACAGTGGATTCAGTCATAACCAGACACCAGTGTGACCATACTATTTGTTAGGTTTGGGAGTAAAGGCACGGTGGATTCAGTCTAAACCAGACACCAGTGGGACCATACTATTTGGTAGATTTTGGAGTAATGGCACAGCAGGTTTGGGAGTAATGTCACAGTGGATTCAGTCATAACCAGACACCAGTGAGACCATACTATTTGTTAGGTTTGGGAGTAAAGGCCCGGTGGATTCAGTCTAAACCAGACACCAATGGGACCATACTGTTTGTTAGGTTTAGGAGTAATGGCACGGTGGATTCAGTCTAAAGCAGACACCAGTGGGACCATACTATTTGTGAGGTTTGGGAGTAATTGCACAGCGGATTCAGTCTAAACCAGACACCAGTGGAACCATACTATTTGTTAGATTTGGGAGTAATGTCACAGCGGATTCAGTCTAAACCAGACACCAATGGCACAGTGGATTCAGTCTAAACCAGACACCAGTGGAACCATACTATTTGTTAGATTTTGGAGTAATGGCACAGTGGATTCAGTCTAAACCAGACACCAGTGGGACCATACTATTTGTTAGATTTGGGAGTAATGTCACAGTGGATTCAGTCTAAACCAGACACCAGTGTGACCATACTATTTGTAAGGTTTGGGAGTAATGGCACGGTGGATTCAGTCTAAAGCAGACACCAGTGGGACCATACTATTTGTTAGGTTTGGGAGAGTTCTGGATTGAAAGTTTGCTCTTAAAACATTGCTGCATGCAATAATTACTAAGAATACATAGTGAACGCTATATTTTGTGCATATACACAATATACAAACTATTTGTACTCCCATTTATTAATAAAGAATACTGCAATAATTTCAATTATTGTATCATTATAAGTAATAAGTGCTCATAGTTAAGGCTTTATTTTACTTTGTTTAATGTCATTTTCACAGCCAAGGTAATTTAAGGGCAAGACTAGTTTATCTACCGGTAAGTTTAAAATAGATTTAATAAGTTGAAAATGGCCAGTCAACTGTCCAATAACTAAAGGACTGAATAAACACAGGCAGTATAGACCAGAACAAGTTCCGATGCCAGTTTACAGAGAGTATATTTAGAAGTGTATAGAAGGCATGGGTCCGGGAAACAAGGCCAGTTTATAGAGAGTATATTTAGAAGTGGATAGAAGGCATGGGACCGGGAAATAAAGCCAGTTTACAGAGAGTATATTTAGAAGTGTATAGAAGGCATGGGACCGGGAAACAAGGCCAGTTTATAGAGAGTATATTTAGAAGTGTATAGAAGGCATGGGACCGGGAAATAAGGCCAGTTTACAGAGAGTATATTTAGAAATGTATAGAAGGCATGGGACCGGAAAACAAGGCCAGTTTACAGAGAGTATATTTAGAAGTGTATAGAAGGCATGGGACCGAGAAACAAGGCCAGGTTACAGAGAGTATATTTAGAAGTGTATAGAAGGCATGGGACCGGGAAACAAGGCCAGTTTACAGAATAGACAGGATTTGGAATCAGCCAGAAGAAAATTCTGCCAAGGCTAAATATTTTGGCCGGTGTAGATAAATATTTAGACTGGACAGAGTCCGGTTTACATAAATTTCACTGTGTATACAAAATACCACACCTGTGTTTCTCTGTGTAATCTGATGAAGTGCGTCCTTCCCGGGGTTGTTGATAATTGGGATGTCACAAATTTTCTCTATTCTTAGCCATCTGTGTCTCTTTTCTTTAAATATGCGATTCACTTCTTCTAATGCTTCTCTGAAAACCGAAAAACAAATCAAGATATTTCCACATGATTTGAAAACAATTAACACCATTTTAATAATATACTGTACAGGTAGTTTTCAAATACAAATGTAATATTTATCACAGCATTTAGCAATAAATGCACATACTTATTCAACATTGTCATACATTTGTGTGAAATTCAAAATCTTTAAATTTCGCAACCCATTTTAATACAGTCAAACCTCGTTATCTCGAAGTCAACGGGTTAGTGGGAAAACTTCGAGTTATCCGAGTATTCGAGTTATGCAGGTTCATAAATTTGGTATGAAATTTGCTGTTTGGACATAGCACTAGCAGTCGTTGATTTTATGAATAGCCAATGGTTATAATCAATCGATGAATAACATACGTAATCAATATTACAAATACAGGTATGTGATTTTACACTAAACACGCTTACAAAAATAGAGTAAGTTATTTCCAAAAAAACTTAACGTTACTTTCGTTTAACGTGATCAAAACAGTTGGATCATATATTGTGAATTCGTTATCAAATATGGACGGGCCTAGTGATTAAATGTTGTTTTCGGCTAGTCTAGATCTTGGTAAAGTCTTTCCAGGTCTGCATTCGTAATTGCAAGTCTGTCAAGTTTTACTTCTGAACTTTTAGTCTCCGACCTCATACTATACAATGCCAAAATGAAAGTGCACAAGTCTAAAACAAATCACTGTAATGGAGCATACGCAGAGTTGATTCTTTAAATGAAAACACACACAAGCAAATTATATCGTACATGTAACACATTGATTCATTCAAACCAAATGTGACACCCGACACCTCCTCAACTCGATGTAATCAACAACAATTATCGTATTGTTCTTAAATCTCTCGATTGACTTTCAAAGCCATACTGGCTCCTGTAATAACATGAACCCGTGAAGCTGTCCTAGGTTGTGATTTTAACTCTGGAACTCTTTTATGCATGACCATACTTTGTGACCAATTTTACGGTTTGCACTGTTGTCTGTTTGGGTGTACGTACAGAATACTGGTGTCTGTTTGGGTGTACAAATCATTCAACGGACTCGCAGTAAGTACAGAATACTGTTGATCAACATTAATGAAGTTTGTTTTATATTATGAACAACATGGTTTTGACAGTCCGCACACTTTACAGTCTGAAGGCAAGCTTTATCGTAAATCCTTTATTTATATGAACACTATGAAGTATACGATGTTTTGACATTGAATTTACGCTATTGAAACCAATATCTTACTTCGAGGAATCCAAGTTTTTCGACTTTCAGGGTTCATATTATCAGAGTTTTATTTACTAAGATAAAGAAGAGATTTGGCCAGGACCAGAGAAATACTTCGAGGTAAACGGGGTCTTCGAATTAACGAGGTTCAACTGTAGTCTTTCAGAAATGGTACAAAAATAAGTTACTTTTTCATTATTCTCAGTACCAAGGGAGAAAACTTTTGATATTACGTAGCCACATTGGAATAAATGCAATACATCTGTGAAGCATGGGAGATAAGTAATGAAATTACTTGGCTGCGTGGATATTTCGATCAGATTCGTCCATAGAATGGTCTGTAGCAACTCGAAATGCTCCAAATAATGCCCCTCGCTTTTTCTTCATCTTGTCACACTAAGTAAAGAAAAGAGAATCAGGTTTTACACACACACAAAAAAATCCGGAATATTTTCATCATTTGTATCAAATCTTCTATGTGAACATGTTGGATGCATACTTGGCAACCTTTTGAAATTTCCATGGGGGGATTACGCATCCTCGGAATTAAAAGCATAAATAAAATGTGTGAATGTATACTCAAGGGAAAAACAACACTTTTAAATAGCACCATCAGATGTTAGAAATAGTTTAGCAGATTCACTGGTTGAAAATGCTCAATTTTAGGGTCCAAAGTCGAGAGAGTTGGCAAGTATGTGAATAGGAAATGACATAAAAAAATTTATCCCCCCCCCCCCCCCCCCATTTATTTTTATATATATCAAATCTCCATCTGAACTTATATGGTTTAGAACAACTAGGTTTTGATTGTAGCAGAAACCATGACAACCTAAAATATTTAATTAAAAAAATAAAATGAGATAATTTTTCCCCCCCTATATATAGTTCATTTTTGCTTAAGAAGTTCATTTTTGCTTAACAAGTCGTAGAATTTACTGTTAATGTTTCTGTCATATTTACAATTTATCTTATTATTGAGGATACTCACCGCCTCTTTTACGATTTGAACTCTTTTGTAGGCATCTTTCTTTTTCAACAGGAAGTATGCATGCTCCATTTCGTAGGAGAGCTGGAGCCAGATTTCGAGTTCGTGTGGCGGCGTCCATTTGTTACGTTCCTCCGCCTGTACTAATGCAGCCCTTACCTGTAACATCACACCAGAGTTTGTAAACAACAAGTGTATCAGCCACACATTTTAAAACTATCGCTGGCGGTAATTACAACTTACGGGTTGTTACATTTGATCCAAATAAACTAACAAAACAAAATGCAGTTAACACTATACATTGTGTTTTGTTTGTGTATTTTGACCTAATGCATATCAAGTCGTGAAGTATACTTATCACTGGTGATTGTTTTAAAAAGGCGGCACTAGGAAGCTTGTATACTACTTCAATTGAGTAAAGGCGTAGAATCTTCAAGAAATAGACCAAACATAAGGTTACCGTAGACATGCATGAATATGCTCATTCTCTTGTTTTCAACAAATAAAACACATTTTCAGTGCGCAAGTATGATAGCAATTCTGTGAAAAAAACCTAAATTTCCCCACTTTTGATTTATGGCATAGCTATTATTAGAACCAATACGATATATTTTTGTCAGTACCCAGTGTAAATTTTAGTATTTGATTAAGTAGTGTACAAACCTGCAAAAGTTCCTCTTCTGCTCGGATCAGGCGAGACTTCTCATCCGTAGACAATTCTCTCCTCATGCTGTCCGAATCTTCCTACAATATGTAAGTACATATACTCTCATTCATACATCTACAGACAAAACTGGAAACCACACTTCTAGTTATGAAATATTCATACACGAGGTTCAAAGATCTAGGGTTGGAGATTTTCTAACCTCCGCACCAGTTATCCTATGATTAATAGAACCTTCCCCTGTCCTGAGGGTGTGACAGAAATCTCCAACCCAAGGGATGATTATTTTTGTTGGTTGTCTAATCTGAGGCTCTGCCAACTAAATAATCCACCCATGGATTAGAATTTCCTCTGTTCCACCCTCAACGTAGGTGGTCATAACTCTATCGACAGAAGTCTGGCATATTTGATTTACAATTTACCTCTATCGCTGAAAGGTTATGGTGACGCCATAATCTACCGTTCCCCTCACACTATCATACTATTATTTTAGAGTGCAGTCTGTCATAATCTGTCACAAATGTGATAACTCCTATAGTCCTTTACTCTAAATTACAATAAATGTCGACCTTGAACTCATTCATCCCTGCAGACACATTTGAACTCTTCCAATGAAAAAGTTGGAATACATTTAGTTCATTATGAAATTTCTGGGGTGAATGAGTTGAAGAATTTGTCAAGACAGTCTTACTGAAATTGTATCCATGTTGTCTGCGGAATCACTTGACAAGCCGCTCCTTTGTTGGTCCTCTGCAGCCGTCAGTCTGAAACAAATAATCAATATATTTGCAATTTGTATTGATCAAATTTCAAATAACATTGTTGAACAATTTACAATTAAAAATAAAATAGAATCTGCAGCACAATAAATCTGACAACACCGTCACCAGTAATTGAAGGACAAACAGTTATATCCAAGTAATTTTATGTCATCAAATTACTGTTTTTCTAATTTTAGTTTTAACCCATTAGTCAAATATGTCAGAATCATCCAGGGTTCTCTTTGATGTTCATAAAGACAGGTTCAAATGTGTAAGTTGCATTGTGTTCTCTTAACAAGAGGCCCAAATGGGCCTGAATCGAGCACCTGGTATTAATCTCACACTTGTTATCTTAAAAGTGGACTAAAATACAGCTACAGGCAGAATATCAGTGTTTGATTCATAAGAACCTATTAAAATATTTAAACATATGATGCCTGTGACCTTCAATGTCAAAAAGGACATTAGGTTGAACAGAGTTTATAGTCTTCCAACCCAGCATGCTTCTGGCAAAATATCATTACCCTGGACCTTTTGGTTATTCAGAACAAGTCAATTAAAGATTTAAACATATATTGGATCATTGTGACCTTTAATATAAGTCTAGGTCATTCATTTGAACAACCTTGGTAGCCCTAAATTACAGCATGCTACTTGTCAAATATCATAACCCTAGGCCTTTTGGTTATTCAGAAGAAGTTGTTAAAAGGTTTCAAACATATTTTACCCCTGTGACCTTGTTTTTAAGTAAAGGGCTTTCCTTTTAACAACTTGGTAGCCCTTCATCCAAGCATGTTTCTGGCCAATCATTATCCTAGGCCTCTTAGTTATTCAGAAGAAGTTGTTTAAAAGATTTTTTAAGACAATTGACCGATGTGACCTTGAAAATGGATGAAGGTCATTCATTTGAACAAACTTGGTAGCCCTTCATCCCGGCATGCTTCTGGCCAAATATCATCACCCTGGGGATTTTTGTTATTCACAAAGAAGTTGTTTTAAGTCAACATTTTGACTCCTGTGACCTTGAAAATAGTTGAAAGTCATTTATTTGAACAAACTTGGTAGCCCTTCATTCCAGTTTGCTTCTGGTCAAATATCATCACCCTAGGCCTCTTGGTTTTTAAGGAGAGGTTGTTTAAAGTAAAATATTAACGCCTTGAGGACGGATGGACGACGGACGCCGCACCACGGCATAAGCTTTCTTGGCCCTTTGGGCCAGGTGAGCTAAAAATGATTCCTTAAATATATATTAATAAGTTCATCTGAAAAGTTGGAATACAGCAATAATCTTACTATAGTGAACCCAAGAATTTCACAGTTTGGTACCATTCAAATTAAGTTCAATTCGAAATGACAACTTATCAGTTTCAGACTTAAGACAATGTGAGAATGTAGCCTACTTTTCCTGTAGTTCTGACAGGGACAACTCCGCCTTCTGTAGAGCCTCAAGCCTCTTTCTGAACTTGATGGCATTTTTCTTGGCGAGTCTGTGTTGATTGAGGGCGAACCACACTCCTCCGAGGGCAATGAAGAGCAGTATAATGAGGACTAGATCTCGCACAAATCTGTGTTTATCTGTCAAGTAATAGCAGACAAATTTAGTGACATCATAGAGTTGAAAAAATACAGAGATGAAAAACTGGCATATTGACAAAAAGGCTGAAATTTAGATTTTTTAATCCTCTCTACAGGAAAAATTGGAAGTTGGCAGAAAATGCTGACAGTTTTCATCAATTGCATTAACCTTTTGGGTATAGTTGCCTGTTATAAGGAGGTTACTTAGTTTACCAGCAATAAGCCTATGACTGATAATAAGCCCATGACTGAAAATAAGCCCATCTATTGAAGTTCAGTAAAACTGCCAACAATTGTAATTTCATTGTCCGGTAATAAGCCCATCCCCTGTTTTAAGTCAGAGATTATGTGTGGCCACTAATTGCAGGATAAATTTTGTAAAGATATTTTTAAACATAGATACCATGTCTATTGTGATGATCAAGATGATCAGAAAAAAAACGTTACCAAATGTCAACAGGACACCCTTTGAAAGAATGACATGTCCCATCATCTTCAATACGCCAGGGCTTACACTCACTTATGCTCTCTGCACCCTGGAATATGTTATAGTAAAATTGAGGGCTCTGTGGGCGCCACTTTGTGGACGAGACAAGAAGACTAGTTTGATCCTTTTAGTGCACATCAAAAGGATCTAGCAGTGGCATAACGGTAAAATTTACTGGCTTTGAATTCGGGTGATGCCCCTTTATAATCTTCAAAGGACAGGTATCATACAGTCTGCCATTGGTCAGGTTAATTCACCCGAGACCAATCAAATAGCAAGCCGTGTGCCTTCAATTTTGCCATGACATATTCTAGGGTTGCAAAGAGCGAAAGTGAGTGTAACTCCTGGAGTATAGAGGATGGATATGTCCTTGACACATCATTTAAGAATGACCTCAACAATGAAGAAATTACCCTTTGGTGGTCCAAACAGCACCAAGTCCATTGCCTTCACGGAGATTTTCTGTCGGTGGATGCCATTTTTTATTCCTAGAACATCTATCATGTAGGTCTTGTTAGTGACTGCCAGTCTGTAACAAAAATTACACAAATTTATAACAAAGTCTGGAAAATTTCCCTGAGGTGGTTATGAATCGAAAACACAAGTTTGACTCAAAACTGTCAATATAACTTAGGATAAAGTGGAAATTTCTCTTAAAGATCCCTGTCCCACTGCTCTGTGGTTAATGATATATATACAGTAACCTCCCCTTAACTTCCATTTAGATATAACTGTAGAACAACTGGGCCAAGACATTTCCGTTGACCAGGTAGCTCAATCTGTTAAGGCAATGCCATTTAGAAGTCTGAAATTCAGGGTTCGAATCCTGGTTCAGCCCTACATTTTTCATGCCAGAAAAAAACAGTTTCCAATAAATAGTTTACAGTGTCAGTCAGTGGTACGTGGATACGAGTTAATTACATTTGAAATAGACACTGTTAATGGCATCACTGCTCTTAATGGCTAAAACTGCGAAAATTGAATACTACACAAAATTGTAACAAAATATATGTATGTATATAAGCCCATGCTTGGTAACAACTAGATAATGCAGTTAGGAACAACAAATGTTACTTCATTATCCTGTAATAGACCCATCCCCTTATTTTCAGCAGGAGATTATGTGTTGGCCCCTTGGGCTTATTGCAGGATAAATGTAGTACCATATGTATTTATATTTCTAGATTGGAAGTTTTAAGTTAGGGAAAACTGGGCATTTTGCTTTAACCCTTTCACCACTGTAGACCATAATGGACTCATCCAGATCAATGCATGGTAGAGTCTACTAATATGAAGTTACATAAGGTTGAAATGGTTAACTTATACTGAGAATGGATCCATATTTTAGAAATCCACAATGATTAATGTAAAATCCAGCCTAACTTTACAGATACTATCTCTGTATTCCAGAAAAGTCTAGTTATAGCTTTCTCATCCGTTTTTATTTCCTTGGAAATTTCCTTTCAGGCAATGTTTTTGATCTGGCTATTATTGTATATTGATTGTCATTTCAGGACATGATATCGACAGAGCTGCGTTATTGTATCACTGTAGCGTTACATTGATTAGTTTATACCTATAACACTGGGCCACCCACTGTTTTGTGTTTGTCAGCTTACAACGACCACACCCTCATCCTACCCTCGTATTACGATCATCTTATCCCGCATCATGTATGTCGCATTATCTATTGATTGTACAACGTTACATACGGGAAAGTCTACCCCGGACTTAGACAGCTCAGATCAAACAAAGAACTTTTCAGCATCGCTTTCAGCCATGTTTATATCCCATACTCTTTACAGCGAGATATCTATTGAAGATATAAAATGGATATACCCATTGAATACCATATGATTTTCATAAGTGTGGTAAAGTACAAGTATTGTCATGAGTGCAGGGAAGCACAAATGAAAGTTTCAAAATATTCAGCCAAACCAGTAAAACATCAACATCCACTAACTTTTCTATTTCAGATATCTTTGTGGCTCCAAAACTAGTCAATATTCTTGTAGGAATAAAACTTGATCACTGCCTTTGCTTGAGATTATGCTGTATATTGCATTGTATTTTTAACACAATAAAACAACTGGACTATCAAAGGCCACGCCCATACATCGGTGTTGAGTTTATACGATAAATGTTTTGTTAGATCAACACACGAAAACGAGACAGATCGAAGAAGCGATCAAAATCAGGAAAACTCAGAACATGAACAGAGACGAGGGGGGGGGGGGGACGACACCAGCTGGGCCATCTGTATGACCCAATCGATACTGACACGACAGGGGAAGGGGCCAGATCTACACCCTACCTGTACACTATCTGATGCAGTGTGTATACGCTACCTCTAATAGGCGAAACGTCCTGGGTCAGGTGACATGTAAAATATACAATTTCGTCACATCGTTGTACAGGTAAATAATACAAATCGCTCACTCAGTCATAGCTTGACAAAGGGACCAGTCGGTCTTGAAACGTTGCGTCTCGTTTAATACGTATATTGTTTGTGTAAAAAGTAGCTTTGATATCATGTTTTATGTTAGGTTGAACAAAGTCAATAAGAAACAAACTGTTTTTATACACTATCCTATCAGGTTTTCCACTGACTTTCCATACTCTGAAACAAGATTGAGGGAACTTCAAAAGCAAGTTTGGTTTTATTGCTTCTTTTTACATTTAATTTTGTTTTCATTTAAAAATGTTAAAAATAATTTGGTTTTGATACACATTATAAGGTTCATATAAGTTTTATAGGAACATAAACCTATATCTAAATGAAGTTTTCTTTTGTCATTTGAAGAAATTAAAAACAAGTCAATTTAATATTCAAATCATTTGAGGAGGTGAAAAATAAATCATAGCTGTTATTCTGTGTGGTACCTAAGGTTATTTATCTTTGTGACATGAGTATCTTTGATTTAGTGCAACTTAAGAAGTATAAATTTATCACAAGGTGAATTCCTTATCTGACAAATTAAACTGGATATGAATATACAGGTTTGTCAAATTATTACGATAAATATTGAAATGAAACTAAAAGATCTCCAGCCATCTTAACATTTATGTCATCAGACTGGAAATGTTAAAACCTTCTTAAATTCAACAAGGGAAGTAATCATCTCCAAGATCTAACAAGAAATATTTTGGGTACCCTAAATTCCAAATATGCTAAAAAAATTTGTGGGGGAAAAGTTATGCTGTGCATATATACAGTAAAACCCTGTCTAGTGTGAATGCTTTGTATTCTGACATTGTGTCATACCACCGGCACACAGAGCTGTAATCCTGTCTCTTATGAATCTGTCTATTCCATGCAATGTGTTGAACCTTCAGTGTTTCAATTGAACCTAGAGTGTTTCTGATTATACAGGTATAAACTATAGATCCCCAAAAGGTATCAGTTAACAAAGGGTTCATTGTACAATCCACAGTGGTCAGATTAGTCAGGTTCAATTGTAGATTTTATTTAGTGTCAGATTACATACATTTCACTCTATACAAATATTCCTCTTTATCACCTTATCAATTTGACATCCTAAAAATAATACAATTTTATTTAGAAATAAATTTCAGCATTTAAAAATTTACTCAAAAACTAAAACTTGGGCTTACACACATGGCTTATGTTAACCAGACATGAAGAATGCCTGCCCTGAAGGTGAAGCTTCCTTTCTTCAGATTGTGATAGATATCACAGGATGGTGTGATGATTTACGCTACAGGGAAATGAGATTGTGGTGCTCGTCAGATAGCTACCAGGATGTATTCCATGTTTACAAGACAGATAATATGTTTCCTGACTTAATATTAATTTATGTGATTATGTGATACAAAGAGCTAACTATACCAGGATAAACCTGCAAAAAAAATCCAGGTAGTAACAATTAACTAATGGAATGTGAGCTGCTGGTGTCAATTCCTTCTCAAAATCCTGTAGCTGATGTTCAGATTTTAAACATTACTTTTCCCAATATATGTTCAGGAAGAAAGACTTAATTTTGTGACACTAAAACCAGCTGTACATGACTTTTGAGAATTTTGAAATTCGGGATGAAATTTTATGTCCTCACAACCATATGACTGTAGTAATATTATCCACGAATAATTTGCTGAAATTGATGACAAATTGGACTCCACTGATATCGAACATAATATAATTTGTCAGATAGATCGTCTTACTGTCACATTAATAAAGTAAAATGTTTCGCTGACTCGAATTCCCCCTAAAGAGGTACACAATTTCAATATAAACACGACTCTCCATCATTTATGATTACTTCATCTCTCTTCCCTTACACATAGCACTACATATCATTAGTCTAGTATTACTGTTTGACAAAAGCTTGAGCATTGTTATTAGCAATTTCATCTGATCTCGATCACACTTATAATACCCTATAACTCTGATTTCGATCACACTTTATACCCTAGGCTTATAACTCTGATCTCTGCTTGCACACAACAAGTCCTGACATCCTCACATAAACTCATGCATGGTGCAGTATCGGAATTCACATGACGATAAACAAAATTCTCAACCATTGATATTGCCAACTTTTTGAGGTTTTTGTGCATTTTACAATCACATACTGTTTAACTATAACGAGTAATAAATCCTGATTATGATCAGATGTTAGTGGTTTATCAGAATTAATTAACTTCAGATTCATAGATCCAGGGGAGGATTCTGGTGGTGCTTCGGGGAAACCCCAAGGAATGTCATGTTTTGTTAAAAAAAATGTTGTCAAATTTTGATCTGTTTGGGTTTGAACCAATCCAAGATAAGTTTTTAGATCCACTAATTGTTCATGATGACACGATACCACTAATAGCAAAATGAGTAGGGGTGCACATATGTTATGCCATCCCATCCACCCCCAATTTTCCCCACCCCCAAAGTGGTCAAGTGTGACCTTTAACCCTTTAACCTCGACTCAAATGACCACCAAGATCTAATCAGGTGTAGACCTCCATGTTATCACCCCATGGGTGTATATAGAAAGAAAATGTGCTCAGGGGTTCCTAAATATGCTGAACTCAATTAGCAAGCTTTTTACTGCCGACATATGGATACACAGAGAGAAGCACATCCTAACAGATGTACTGGCAAATCGATTACTACATATCCCACTCCATGAAGTATGGGGTATAATAGATATAACAATTTGTGAATATTGATCATTTTTAGTTCACAGGAAGGAAATTCTAACATTTGGTAGTTAATGAAATAAGTAAACAATCGGGGAGAAGGGCGAAGGCACAGAAACAAAATACTGGAGAAGGGCGAAGGCACAGAAACCAAATACTGGAGAAGGGCGAAGGCACAGAAACCAAATACTGGAGAAGGGCGAAGGCACAGAAACCAAATACTGGAGAAGGGCGAAGGCACAGAAACCAAATACTGGAGAAGGGCGAAGGCACAGAAACCAAATACTGGAGAAGGGCGAAGGCACAGAAAC